GGAATTTCAAATAGTTAATTTGATACTAATGTCGATATATTTTTGTCAAATTTTTATGATATCTTCAAACATATATTTTATTCAAAAATAAAAACATCACCGTTTTCTCAAAATCACATAAAGCCATATTATAACATCGACTGAGATAAAGAATAAAATGAAATATTAAAATCACGATATATCTCGCTGCATTGCACGAGTACGCTTCTAGTTTGTTATAATAGAAACAAATAATAAAACGTCTTATCTAAAAGTTTTACAATAAATTTAAAAGATGATTTTTAGCATTTAATATGTTTTTTACTACATTTTTTAATAGTCAGTTCTATTGGTCATTTTATAAGACATTGTTGAAAAAAAAGTCATATAAGATAAATAATACAACACTTTATTTTAAAAACGTCTTTAAAAACTTGCTAAAATTCCCAAAAAGGTCCTATAAACTTATTTTTTTTACATTTTCTTTTAAATACAACGCTTTATTTTTTGATCCAATAAATTTAAATCTTATAAAACAGTCTATTAAAATCCATTAACGATGTAAATGGTAAGTACCAATTAGAGGTACCATGAAGGTCAAAAGAAGTAACAAGAATGAGACCATACAAAAGCTGTGCTTTCTCTTCTCTATCCATGTACTTGTTTCAATATGTTCCCCATACATCCAACAACATTAAACTCCTTTATCACTTTCAATCTAAGGGGCGTTTAACTTCTTCAAAAACTTTTTATTACCGATTTGACACCGGTATAAGTTGTTTATCTAAACACTCAAAAGTGTTTATTACCGATTTCATATCGTAATAAGTCAATAAGTTGTTTTTATAAGCAATTCCAAACACCCCCTAATTGTTTATATTTTTATTTTAGTTTATCTTAAAATAATCGACTATTTTACCATTTTCTTATTATATGTGATGAAAAAAATTCATACTTTTTCTATTATTAAGGGAAAAACTGTTAGTATTTGGTAAAATGTCCTATAAACACAAGGGCTTTACAAAAAAAAGATTAAGTTAATTGTCCTATAAAATAACTAATACGACATTTTACTTTATAAAAAGTTTTAAAAAATTTGTTAAGACGTCCAAAAACGTCATATAAACTTATTATAACACTTTTAGATATAACA